ATTTGGGGCTGTAGGGAAAGCGGAGGACATAGACTGATGGCTATTTCCCTTTGATCTGTCTCAGTCCTTGATTCTTCTCCAGTGTCTCCAGGGAGAAGGGGCTTTACAGTTAAAGAACCATTTTATTCCATGTAAAGGAACTTACAGAGCCAGTGGCCAGATCCTACCCTAGCTCACCTAAGTTCTTGGTCCCTATTGAGGCCTGACCAGCCCAGAGAGGCTAGGGCTGGATTCCAGAGTTTCCCCTCTGTTTTGAGGCTACTATATAAAGCTCTGTGCACCCTAACCCTTGACACCACTGCACCTTTGCTGAGGAAAGGTCTAGAAGCCAAATGAACTCAAAGACTATACTAGTCCCACTCTAATACAAGGCCCGGAGAAGCCAAAGTTCCCATTGCATAACCAGGGGAAAATTCCATGAACAAGCAGAGTGCCTGCAGAAGGACAAAGTGTGAGAGATAAATGCAAGACCCTGTGTTCACAACCACTAAAACTTCCAAAAGAGGAAGAGATGGGCACAGCCAAGCACAAGGCTCTCTGAAGCGCTGGCAGGCATTCTGTTGACAGTTCATCCCACGTCCCAGCCAGCTGTTAAGGGGAAGCAAACTCCACAAACACTACTGCAGGAGCTCACCGGAGGGAGGCTCTCTGGTCCCTCGCCTGGATGGCGTTTCCTACTTCTGGAGCTCATTCCTGGAATGATCTATCTGGAAATGGATCAGCCGCCCTGGACTAAAGACCTTCGGTTATCTCCCTGATTTCTGGCAAGCCTGACACTTTAAAAGATAGAAACTGAACTCAACACCCCAGCCTCATTGGAACCTGCCCTTCCTCACCTCCAGGCATCACACAAATGAACCCCTCCTCCACCCGTCCCAGGCCATGACAGCTCCTTCCAATGACAGCTCCTTTCTCACTCTGTCAAGGAGCCCTCTAAAGAAAGGTTACTTCAAAATCTGCAAGATTTGATCTCTTCCACACAAAACCTTCTCTTGCTTGGCATCTCCTGTCTTCTACTTTTGCCTCCATATTCAAAGTCTCAGCATATTCTAAGCCATTTCTTTTTTTTCTACTACTATTTCGATGGCCTAGCAGGAGTGTTATGCCAGTTAGGCTGGAAGGGGTGAATATATATGTAAGAGCCTGACGCTGCTGAGTTTGAATGCTGCCTTGGGGTGGGGGTGGGGGGACAGGCTGCACACAAAAGGGCATGAGAATCTGTGCAGTGGTGAGGTGCCCTCAGGAGCATTACCTCTTCTGCTGTAGCATATGAAGCTGATCCAAGTGATGCGCCCAGTCTTGTTCTCTGACACACCAGCTCAGAAGTTTCTGGAGTTGGGTCCAAGGCCGTTTTGCCCCCATGTCGTCTTGTGCAAGTCTGGTGAAAGGAGCCAGCCTGGGCTGACCGCAGCTGAGGAGGCCAGTCTGCTTGGGTGAACACCTAGGCAAGGGTATCTTCTGGGTCTGTGATGGTGGCTGTGGGGTTAGAGTGCCGTGTGTGTGTGTGTGTGTGTGTGTGTGTGTGTGTGTGTGTGTGTGTGCTTGCACCGGAGAACTAGCCACCTTGCTGGGGGAAGGGGAGGAGGCCTTCACACAGCTGAGCCTGGGGGCACAATGCATCCTGGAGTAAGGAGGGGTTAGGGGAGGGACCTCCTTGGTTCATGCTGTGGGCTGGGCAGCTGAGACTGGGAGAGGCTGAGGGGTTGGGCCAAGTAATTTGGAGAGAGAGTATGGCTAGATAATCTTGAAGGTGAAACAGGTATCCTGGGATACAGATCTGAGAAGACTCCTAGGGAATTCTGTGTGGCTCCCGATGTTGGACAGCAGGAATCGAGAATAGTAGAGGGTAGAGAAATCACGGGGCACTTTCTAGAAAGTGAGCTAGCAGGAGGAATCGGTCGGTTATGATAAGGCAGCGTTACTTTATTAAACAGTGATTTGCATTGGCCTTCTTACGGTTCTTTAGGAGACTTGTCAGTGTTACTGAATGTCCCCTTGTGATGGAACTGTGAGGTCAGTTGAAATAAGGCAAGAGTTGTTTTTGAATGAGAAGACACCTAACTGAGAGGGAGTATGCTCTCTCAACCCCTGGGCTGGGGACAAAACGGAAACTGTCTTTGAAGTTGGGATCGTGGCTCCCAAGTCATTGCTCTCCAGGCCTTTCTTTTTCCTGGGAAACTCTTGAGAGACTCGGGGAAGGTATGAGAGTCTTGTGTGGGGTAGACTTGAGATCTCACCCCCCGAAGGCCATGGGTTCTTGGGTCTGTCCCTTTCTTTTGACATAAGCAAGAAAGCTCTGATCCGGAGGGCAAAGTAACCTGCAGAGCAGGGCAATGATGGAAAGGAAAGGAAACATGGAAAGGAAGCGGAGGGGCCTGAGACACGGAGAAAGTGATCTTACCCAGGGAGTGGGTAGGGTCACCTTGTGGGGCATTTTTATATCCCACTGGGGGTTGGGGCAGTGTGGGTACTAATGGTCTCTGAAACCTGTGGCCTTCCAGTGTAAGGAGATGGAGGGAGCGATAAGATTGAGGTGGGGTATAGATGCACTGATAAGGAGAAAGGGAGCAGGTCATGAAGGGTGAACTTGCCAAGGAAACACTAAGCCCATAAAGCTAATCCTTGAGGGGGTGAGAGGGGAGGGTTGGGGTGGAAGAGTCTGGCTCAGTCAGGGACACACAGAGCAGGTGCAGTCACCAAGGACATTGGCCATAGGTTCCTAAAGGAAGAGAGGGAGCAGCCACCCAGAGCTCCTCAATCTTTTATTGCCCCCCTTGCCTGAGCTAGGTCCCTCGATTGGAGGGGTATGAATCAGTAACTCGGGTGGGGACCATGTTGTCCCTCGTCCCATCTCCATCCATCTTAGTAGGTGAAAGAGTCTGGAATCTTTCCTCCTCTGCCTTTTCTCTCCTTCTGGTAATAGTCCATACTGCCACGTCTTCCTTTCCCCTTTCTCTTTGATGCTGCTGCAGCCTTCTGCCTCGGGTTCTACTGCAGCCTCCCTTCCAGATAGCAGCTCCCCCCTCTCACCCCGAGCAGGGCAGCTGCAGCTTAGCTCCTCCTCTGTGGGGCACGGGGCACGATTCCCACCTGCTCACAAGGATCTAGGAGGAGGAAATAAGATACTGCGTTAACAGTAGTTATCATTAGGCGGTGGAACTGTTGGGGCTTTTTGTTGCTTTGTGCTTTCGTGTGTTTTATACTTTGCGAGAACAGAAAAATTAAGGGATCGCTGATCTCTGCACGACCCACTTCCTGCAAGGAGTGAGGGAGCTGAGTTGGTAAAGAGGTAGAAGTCATTGACGATGAGTGAGCCCAAGCGGGTTCTTCCCCCTCCAACCCCCACTCCAACCTGCCCCTCCCTCTGCCGCCCCTCCCACTCACGCCCCATTCAAGCTGTAGGCGGCTCCACACAAGCGGACCAGAGAACTAAGAAGCCCCACCTCCAAAATAGCCAGGAGGAGATCAGTGATTTTATTTTTTCCATTCATTCATCATCATTCGCTGGATCTGCAGGTCAATGGGTACAAAGTTGGGGTTAGTGAGGTCACTGCATTTTTACACCTTTATGCCACCACCATAAAGTCCGCTTCTATGTCACTACCCGCTCTCCTGTCACCTGGTTTGGCGCTCGCGGAAGTAAGGGCTGGAGTCTGGCAGGTTCCATGAGACTGTAGCTGCCAGCATGGTTCCCTCTACGGGAAGGGATCGTCTTACCTTCTCGTGTCTCCAATTCTTTCTTGGAGAAGAAGTATATGTTCATGTACATCCCCTGGCACCTGAGTCTGCATCCGGCTTCCCAGGCAAGGTGTGCATGAAGGGAAGTGATACGAATGAGCCTTTCCTGTCCGTGTGCCCCGTGGGCTGCTCACAGCCTCTGTCTGTTTTCCTTCTTCTAACAAAGACATTTGTACGGCACTCCCCACCTCTCTCGGAGTCCCCTCTGCCAGCTAGCCAGCTAGCCCACAGGTCTTCCCTGCGGAGGGGACAGGCATTATTTTGGCATCTGTGATTCCTTCTCTCTATAGACTCCTGCCCCTCTACCGAGCAAGGAGTTATTAGGAACCCTCGTTAGATACCCTTGGAGTAGTGTCTCTGTGTCTGAGACTGCGAGAAGACACAAAATAATACAAAGTCCAAGAATGAACAAAAATAAGGAAGAGTGTAATCATCTCTTTGCGTCTTTTTTTATTATTATTATTTTTTATTTTTTTGTAGTACTGGACAATGAACCCAGGCTCTTGTCCGTGCCAGACATTTTTGCCACTGAGCTATATTCTCCAGCCCTTTTAAAAGTGAACTTTTGTGAGGCAAGGCCTCACTAGGCTTCCCAAACCTGGCTGAAGTCACTCTGTAACACTGGCAGTTCTTACTGTTCCCTCCGCTCCGAAGTAATTGGAAGTATAGGACCGTACACCAGCCTAACTTTCAGCCTCCATCGCTATGCAGCCCTGGTCACTGTACCTGAAGTTCCATCTCTGTATCTCTCTGCCTTTCTGTCTGCCTCTCTGTCTGTCTGTCTTACAGGGTGTGTGTACTTTCTCATCTGTCTCCTATGTCGTAATTCTTATTCCCAGTTTTCAACAGACTTAAGAGTTTCATGGAGAGCACCAGGCACGTGTGTGGCCTTGAGGATACCGGTGTGTAGAAAGCCGTTGGCCTCATCTGTGCCAGCTGCTTGGAATCATAGGCAGGGGTCACACTCAGACTCAGAAACGCTAATGGAGAACCCCGCTTTTCATCCACACAGTGACTGTGAGAACACGGTTGCTGTGAAGTACGCGCAGACATGTACACCATGCAGACCCAATGGTGTAACAGATATGATGGCACTTGGCAAATTCTGGAGCCTTTTTGGGTAGTGATCTGCAAGGTGACTGTTTTAGAAGCATCTGCCGTTTCCCACCCTTCTGCCTGGAAATGGAACGGTATATAATGATCTAGAATGTGGGTTAGAGCCACAGGAGTGATGTCACAGAACACACAGTGTTAGAGGTCCTATGGAAGAGCGAGAGGGAAAGCTATGCTGGTGTGGGGTAAGGGCTGAGACAGGGGCAGGGTGGGGCTGGGACCTGGGGGTTGGGGCCAGAGCCAGCATGGGGAAGGAGGCTCATGACTTCCCTGGTCTCCCAGCTCCACAGGAGGACATTCCTGACAGCTGTCCTGCTCCTGCTGCAGGTGAAGTGGGTGAAGACTCTGAAGGGCAACACAAGCCTGGATGATGACAGGAGTCAGAAAGAGAAAGAGTTCTCTGTAGGTGGGTAGAGGAGAGAGCGAATACGTGGGGTGGGGGGATGGACGTAAAGGTAGGCTTGGATCGAATTCAGCTCTGGAAGCTGGTTAAGTCAGGATCAACAGGGATGGGCTTGGTCTTCAGCAGATAACTCACATTCTCTATCACCACGATATGAAATAATAGCTGCAGGTAAGAATGTCTGGCTTTAGAAAGACTCTTGGTCAGGTACAGCATGGGGTAGCTGCCATTGTCCAGAGCTTCTGAGGAAGGGGGGGGTCTTTGCCTTCACACCTGAAAAGGTGTCTCTCACTCCCCAAACACTGTAACACTTTGGGAGAGGGAACTTTTATGGGGAGTGGTGGATGTGCGCGCTTGAGATCCGAAATGCCTTCTAGTTAGAGCGTTCCCTTTCTAGCCAAGGCCAACGTTATGGCTGGCAGTCGGCAGCTCTCGCTGGCTCGTTTCTGGATCCTAGGACCACGGTCCCATCCTGGTGCAGGCCCGGACTGAGACTGGGGCTCCCCTCTCCGGTTCCCCTTTCTCGTTCCAGACCAGGGCCAAGAGCAGTTCGAAGAACACTTTGTGGCTTCTTCCGTGGGTGAGCTGTGGCAGGCGATGGATATGGCGCAGCAAGAAGACGACGATACGGTTGCCCAGGCAACAACTCTCCGGGACCACCTCTTTGATCTAGCCTTCTGCTTCAACCTGGCCAGCATCATGGTTTTTTTATGAGAGACTTTGAGGTGGAGGCAGTAGTCTGGGTCCTGCAGGAGGACTTGGACATCTACCTTCCCTTCGCGGTTGCCTGCTGACCTCCTCTCCCAGATGCCTCCTAAAAAAACCGCACGGCCCCCTCCCCCTGTCTGAGAAGCACCTGGCCGTAGGTAGGTCTCCCAGCTCTCACTGACACTGTGATTACCCCCCCAACCCAGAATTTCATGCCCCAGGGCCAAAGACACTAGACCCACACCCTTCTGACTCTTAAGCTTTGACTGAGACAGCAGATTAGAGGGAGGAGACAGTGACAATAAAATAGCAATAGCAATAAAATCCTAAAAACAATTACGGGTGAGTTTCTGGTTCTCTCACTGGTCTGTTGAATTGCCTGGCCTACTGTCTACTTACTGACCTTCAGACCCACCATCTCACCAACTGCTGCTGCTTTTCCAATGTCCACAAAGCCTTTCTTGCTACTTTCCCCTTATCCTTCTTGGCTTCTAGGAATGGGACATACCGGGGAAGGCATACATAGTGGGCTGGGGAGAAGACTCTGTGAGTTACATGATCACTGTAGAAGTGTAAGGACTAGGTCTGGATCCCAAGAACTCACATCCAGTTACAGTCATCCACATGAGTAATCTCCTATGCGATTACACAAGCTATTACACTTACAGTAAGACACTCTTATATATAGTGGGAGTAGCCGGTCTGGTATACACACTGACATATACACCTGTCTCAAAACAAGGAAGAAGATTACTGGTACCCAGTAATCTTCGGACTTCCACACATGAGCTGTAGCATACACGTGCCCACAGTACACACACACATACACATGTGTGCATGCACACACACACACACACTCACACACACACACACACACACACACAGAGAGAGAGAGAAAATAAAGTGAGGTAGCAAAAGCTAAATACAAGCTTTTAATTTTGGAACAAAAAGAAGAAAGATATTTGTTCTGACTTCCAGGATGGGGCCAAGTGTCTAGGCATCTACATCTCAGTCTCTTTAGTAGCCAAGTTACCAGAGTTTGCAGCGCATGGAAGGGTTCAGAGGGGTACCACGTGGACAATGGAAATGTTTGGCAAAGTCTGGGATATTGCTGAGGGGACCATGGACTCGAAGGCTGGGAGAGCTGTAAGCTTCCTGAGGGTCTTGGGAGCTCAACTCTCTACACATCACCTAAGGAGAAAAATGGTCAGAGAGGGGTAAGGAGGAGAGAAAGTCACAAAGGGTCACAGAGATAAGTTGGATGCAATGATTAGGAGATCACTAAACAGGACAAAAGAGGGGGCAGGATCCACATGGGGCCATGGAGAACTTGTATGTGCAAATCAACATGGCATTAGCCCTGTAGAAAACTTGGCTATGTAGTTCTGCCATTTATAAGGGACTGAAATGGGTTTTAGTAGTGGAGCGCTGTAAAGGAGTCATTTGTATGTTGAAGAATTGTGGGCCATGCTGCTGACAGAGCACAAAGTCCCAAAAGGAGTGATAACCAGTTTGGAACTAAGCCCCAGAACTGAGGTCTCCGAGTAGTGTGATCACATGTCCAGCCTGCTGTTGGCTCCTTTTAAAAACAGTCCGTATTTCTGAAGCATGCGAACGAAGGAACAACAGGCTTAGTTTGTAGAGGGACTTGGAAGTGGACAGGTGTTTCTTTCAGGGTAGGGTGGGGAGACAGTTGCTGAATTTGATTGCTGTATAATCATCTAAAGGATGGTTCTGAAGGGTCAAATGAGAAAAGCTAAAAGTGGGGATCCATGATGTTGGGCTTGTGAGTATGGAACAATGTAACATGGGACAAACATCCTTTTAGCATCAGTGATTGGGCTCTGAACTGACCCAAAGCAAGTGTAGAGAGAAAGAGTAGCTGCTCACCTGGGCATAGCTTTGAAAGAAGAGTTGATAGGGGCTGAGATCCTGGTTGGCCAGGGTCATCTCTCTGCTTTTCTCTGCTATACTCTCGCTGTATGCCTACATTTGGGTATGGGATAGAAATTTCTGTTAGGCTTCAGATCTGTAGGCATTTAGAAGTCTGATGCCAGCTACATAGCATGGTATCGCAACAAGTTCCTAAGCCTTCTTATCTCTGTAATAATAATGCACCGGTCTGAGGCGAGAAGAAAGGGTACTTACCAGAAGACCTATAGTTGTTCTAGAAGGTGGGGGACCTACAGGGTAGGAAGGGGGTCCCAAGTTGCCATCTGTTCAGTGGGAATGTGAAGGGCAGAAAGCTATGCAACTGTTTCCATGAGGGATAGCGTTAGGAAAACAGAAGAATACGGGCCTTGGCACACCTGAAATGCTATAGCCAGCCCTCCTATATCGCCAGCATTTTCAAGGAGTGTGTGAGAACCATTGAACTGGGCCATGTTGGATAAGGCAGCATAATGGCGCTCCAGGCATAGAAGTGCTTCCTGTAGGACATGAGTGTCACAGGCTGGGCAGCCCCCGGGGAGTACTGCAGAAAATGGAACAAGAGAGCCAACTGGTGATGGGCAGTGCAGCGTGAGGGATCCCACAGACTGTCCTGGCTCCCCGGAAGGCGGAACGTTTCTCAGACTGTCCCTGCCGGAACCTTCCCCTCCCGCCATGCCCCCGTTGATAGCCTCCCGAGTGACCCCCATGGCCCTACTCACAGGGCTCGTTACTCACAGAGCTGGTAGAAGACACGCAACAACTCATGGGCCATGATGCTTCCAGCAGCACCAAAGTTCACAGCTCTATAGAGGCAAAGTCTTGTTTTACTTACAGAAATCTTTAAGAAAAGGTATTTATCCCCGTTACCCCAGGTCTCATCCATCCTAACTAGCACCTATTACTTCCTCTTAAGATCCCCCACCAAAAGACTCACCTTCACAGAATGGTCCATACCTGGGGTAGCCAGGGTGGAAGAATGGAGGTTGAAGAAGCCCAGCTGTGAAGACCACCACGTGGTCAGATACGGAATAGTAGGCATCGACTCCCCAGGGAGGTTCCTTCCATCTGCGTGAAGAGAAAAACACGAGCAGAGCTCCATCATTCATTCACTGCCTTTGCAAGGCACATGCGACCCCTCCCAACCGTCACCATGGACTTTGTGAGCGTCATCACCGTCCTTAGCGCATCTCTGCGATGGGTTCCCGGTCCTCATACCTGTGGTAGGGAAAAGGCTGCAGCAAGTGCCTAACATTTCTGCCCCGGAGGGATCGTACACAGCTCAGGAAAGACTGCAGGAAACTGGGGCCAAGTTGTATCTGGGAAAGAGGTAGCATGCGCCGAGGTGAATGCAAACAGGTCAAATGGATGTGCTGGACACATTTAAACCTAAACACCTAAGCCCTGAGATGTGTTCAGTCAGAAACTGCCATGTGATAACACCTCATATCCGTGCAGAGTTTGCATGCATCGTCATGCAAATAAACACAAACCCGTTAAAGAATCAGTGTGTGTACATGCATGCATGTACACAGAAGAACCCTAGAAAGTTTCAGGGTTTTGTTGTTTGGGGTTCCCCCCCCCATAAGATCCATTCAGCATTGGGGCAAAGAAGAGGTTAGCTCAGAAAATGGATTGCTTTGCACACTCCGTTGGGTCAGGGAAGTCAAGGACATAATGGGTACCGAGAGGAACAAAGACCCACATCGCTGTATTCCTCTTTGGCCATCTCTGGCTTCAAGTCCCGTTTTGGGGCCCCCATCTCCACCTGCAGTTGGGTGAGCTGAAAAAAAGAACACAAAGGTATGCAAACAACCGGCATTTCCTCAGAAACCCTCGAGAGCCATTAACACTGTCACCCACATATGTACTCTGTACCCTCTTCTCCTCCATCCCCAAACTGGCCCATACCACGCGGTGCCTTGCCTTGTTCAGGGAATCTTTCAGGGTCTCCTCACTTATCCAGGGAAGTTTTTTGAGACGTGTGATGACAGCTGCCTTGATCTCAGCAAATAATTCCATGGCCTGTGGGGACAAGGTCAGGAAAAAGGAAACGATGTTAGGATCAGTCTGAGCCCCTGATGCAGTCTGCAAAAAGATCTTGGCCCTAAAGAACCTGCTGGGCTCCAGAAGCTGTCAGAGAAAAGGGAAGAGCTCCCAAGAGGGTCTGTTTCCCAGAATACCACGAATAGCCAGGGCCTGAAGATCCGTGGGGCTACAAAGACAGGGCCAAGCATGGGGAAGGTAATGAGTTGGCTGCCCCAAGAAGGGGCCGTCACAACAGTGCTTTGCCATTGGGTTATCCTGAGATTGATGGGTATTTTCTTTGGGGGACAGAAAACTCTCTCAGAAGCAGAAGCTACTGCTTCCATGCTGGCTCTCGGGGCCTTTGTGTCCATACCCTCCCACTTAGGACATATTTCCTATCTCCTACATTCCCTGGCTTCTCAGCAGAGTGGAATCTTCACGGCCATGCAGCCTGCCACACGCCCCGTTTCTCAAATGCTCACTGTCTTATGCACATCCTTTCTTGGTAGAAAGAATTGGGTGACAATGTCAGAAATGATTCTTGCTCCCTGAGTTCAAATCCTGACTGCTATGTGGCGTCTCCATGATGTCAACTACCCGTGGCTCATTCTCCTTCCCTATTAAATCAGGAAAATAATTTCCACAAAAAAATATTACACATAAAAAGGCTCACGAGTCCCCTTCTCACCAATTATTCAGAAGTTAGTCACTTGCCTTCTGTGAGATTACATCATCCTGAGCTCATGGTATATCTAATGTGTTGTTCAAAATTCTTAGACAAACAGGGCAGGAACTTAAAGGTCAAGGAGTTTGGATTTTTTTTCTTCTGTTTTATGGTTGAAGGAACACACTGCCAGGAAAGTCCAGTGAGGTGTTCAAGCTAACTGGTCTTGTGGATATTTGTGTCCTGTGGCTGACTGGACTTGCCCAAGAGACCAAGCAGGTTTCTGGGTTCCCTCTTAGTTGAATTTCTTTTCTGCCTGATTCCTGCACTGACCACCACAAAGAAGGGCACACACCATAGACTCAGGACAAGGTGTGTTGGGGGGGGACAAGGGTGGAGGGGTGTAGGCAGGGGAAAGCTCTCACATACAGCACTTCGGATGCTGGGACCAAAGGCTTCCTGAACAAACAAAGCTGCCAGGGTAGGCTCAAAGAAGGCTCCTGTGTCTTCCACACACTTCATCCATCGTGGGTAGGCTGGCTGCAAACAAACAAACAAACAAACAAAACACGCTGGAGTGAGTGAGACCTACCCAGACCTCTGTTTTCATCCCATTCCAACACAAGCCCTTGCATAGTCCTTCATCTCAAAGGATGTTTTCTGGTGGGGCTTTTTTTTTTGTTTGTTTTGTTTTCTTTTCTTTTTAATTTTTGTTTACAAGGAATGGGGAAATGGCTCAGGCTTGATTTCAGGACCCAAGGATCTACATAAGAAGTTAGGTATGGAAGCTCATACTATGGGAGAGGTGGAGAAAAGCAGACGCCCGAAATTGCCGTCCAATCTACCTGAGTCAGTGGGTTCTAGGTTCAGTGAAGGACACTGCCTCAAAAACTAAAGGTGCAGTTGGAGGAAAGAAAGATACCTCAGGCTTCTACAAGTACACACAAAGCATACACAATACATGTACACACACACACACACACACACACACAGACAGACAGATCAATCTTTACTTGTCATTTTCTCTGGCAATACCCACTGTTGCTCAGCAGAAAAAAAAAGGCATCCTTTCTCCCTCAGGACCCATGCTTGTTGCCTATTGGTATGAAAGCAAGACCCTCGGGAGGCGTCGCTGTGAGGAATAAGAGTCCTGAAGAGGTGAGGAGGAGTATCCCACTCGGGCCCCAACCCAGCACAGAAATGTCCCAGGAGTCACCACACTCTCCTCCCTGCCAGACTTCCAATTGTGAACTGTAAAGGAGAGGCTCCTTTTCTCGACCCGATCCTTGCCCAGTCTCAAAGTGTGTGTGTGTGTGTGTGTGTGTGTGTGTGTGTGTGTGTGTGATATCGCACAATCCTACAGATCAGTAAATGTGGGCTTCAGATGATAAAGCTTGCTGCTAGAAGAGGCGAAATCAAAATGCTAAGTAGCAAGCACATCATTAAGACTAGAATCCTAGCAGTGTCTCCAGACAGGCAAGGGCAGCATTGTGAAAGATAATGGGGAAACGGAGGAGGGAGAGCTCTCTGGAATATGATGGGTAAAAGAAATACTCCAGATGCAGGATAATCAACCTCAGCAGATTCGTTTCAGAGCAGTGAAAATGGTCACATATATCTCCTACAAACCACGGTTGGTAATAATATAAAGAAATGATAGAAATCGGGGAAGATCCCTAGAGTCTGTGAGCATTTCTAGATAAAATTCTCAAACGAACTGTTAAAGGGATGTGTTTGAAGACATGTAAAATAATATGTGACTAGTAAAGGCCAGGGTAGGATCACTGAGTATCAAAACATGTCAAAATAATAAAAGTTTATCTATTTGAAGGGCTAATAAAACTGGAGTAGAAGAAAGGCAAGGAGCCACAAACACAGATAAGAACCCTCTAAAAGACACAGATAAGGGCCCCACAGTAACATAACAGAGTCTCGTATCAGAAGCACAAGACACAGAGGGGCTGCACTAAACTGGAGAGTGAGCCCAGCACGGATGATATTACCATCGCTAAAGAAGACTGGTCCAGGGCTCCCTGCTTACATAAATGCACACATGGATATCTATTTGAGGGCCACCTCCTGATTTTTTTAATGTTAAGTTGCTCTAAATGCCACTGAAACCTGTCTGTAAACTAAATTTGTCATTAAAGAGCTCCACAATACTACCTTTAAACACACTACCCAGCATTTACTAATGCGAGCTATTAACTTAAATCCAGGCACTTCAGGTAGATAGATCAGCTGTACACCCAAAAGCAATGTCTGTTCCACCTTTGTCAGATCTGGGAACCGGGTGATATAATCCTTAAAGGCACCCTGCTTCTTCTAAACCCCACTGGGATTCCTCTGGCACCACGCTGTAAATTCTATTTCCACTCTATAAAGGCATCATCTTAATAGCCGGGAAAGGATCTGCTTAAGTCACAGATCATGTCCCAGTAAACGAGATGAAGAAAGTGGCTGATGTGGAGTGAGTGGTACCATACAAGTGGACTCCTGTCTGGCTGAACCGTGACTCAACATCATGAGGATGAGTCACAGCTGATTTGACCTTTCCTGACCCTGCCTACTGACAACCATAACTGCTCTTCGCCTTACATTCCTTTTCCTCATTCTACATTTTTCTTTTCTTCCCCAGCACCGCCCAGCACACTTAGTTCATTATCTCTCTCTTCACTCAACGGTAAGCACCCAAAAGGTAGAGATGCTTGCTTACTTCATTCACCACTACACCATGGGTGCCTAGAACAGCATTTAAAATAAATAAATAAACATTTGGTAAATATCGTCACTTGCCCTACATGCCTTGAGTGGTGACACACATCTGTAACCCTGTAGCTGAAGGGCTGAGGCAGGAGGATTAGAAGTTGTAAGACTCTGTCTCAAGAAATTAAAAACAACAACAACAAAAATATCACATAAGTGAATCTACAGCTAATTTAAGCCTGATCTAATGCTTTTCTAACAGTATATTAATAGTACTCTGGAATAAGAAACTTTGGGTGAAATTGCAGGTGGCCCAAGATACAAAAAAAAAAAAAAAAAGAAGAAGAAGAGCAACTAAAATGTCTTGTTTAAACAAAATTTGGAACTGTCTAAATAAATTGGGATGTTGAGTTCATGGGGACAAACGTGAAATCTTGTATCTTGTTTCCATTGCACCAAATCCGGCTTCACAAGTTTCATAATAATATGTGGTGAATAGACATCTCCATTGACCATGTACTCAAAACTAACCAACAAAAACATTCAGATATGACACTGGCATTTCAAACTAAGGACATACGTTAGAATTTCTCAGAGGAGTTCAGAGGTCTTCAATTAATAACCATTGTCTGGAACTAAAAGCCAAACATAGAATCTGGTATTGCCCCTGACTCCATGGTCTTAAAACACAAGCTAGGAAATTCCACTGCTAACCTTGAAACATGCTCTTAGAAAATATAAGTCAGATAAATTCTATAAGTGCCCTCCTTCACGGGAAGAAAAGGCACCCTTGCAGAGACGTGTTGGACCCTCTTCCCTCTGGCTTCCGCTCCAGTGTTACCCTATTTGCTGATCCAGTGTTCACCTGGGGTAAACTGCAACAGTATCTCCAGGCACAACCTTGTGTTCAAAGCCCCATTATTTCTTTTCTGCCGTAGTCATGAGGAGAACCCTACATGCTAAACCAATTTCTAACCAGTCTGCTTCATGCATCGCTTCTGTGAGAAAAGGCCAGGCAGTATCTTCTCTAAACATTGCTTCTTTTTTTACCTGCCCCTACAGGTCCCTACTGATATTCAAGCCCTCTCCAATCACCCTGCTTTCGAAGCCACCAAGGGTATCTATTGTCTACACCTTGTTCTTTAGGAACACAGCTCTCTTTTATGTCCCTGCTAGAGTCAAGTGTTAGCAGCCTAAAATACATGGGACATAAAGCCCAATATACTTAGCTATGTTGCCCTTTATAGAAGAGTTTGCTAACCCAATGCTGTAGCACCCACATATCCCTCAATCCTGCCCAGTGTGTTTAAAAATACAGTTTTATGAACCAAACATTTATTTTGGAGCCTGTTTCTTCATTTAAGAGCAATTTAATCTTGGGAAAGTTATTTGTCATTCTTATACCTGTTTCTCAATCAGAGAAATGGGAACTAAAAACCCCACAACACTTCCTGGAAGGTTAAGTATAATCAACTTTAGTGAGTGATGTTCACCGATGCCTGACAGTGACTTTATAGTCAGATGCTACCAACTTTATCACTCTGTGTCACTTTTGGTACTGTTCAGAAAGTTGAAGCAGCTTCTCCAAGGCTGTCATATTACTATCTGTTGGCAGAACGTGATATGCACTTAGTAGTTATATACCCCCAATGAAAAGGATGGTGATTATGGGATTTGTAAGCCTTCCACATTCTTTAAGCATGAATCTCTGTGTTGACATGACCTCATGCCACAGTGCTGGCATTAACAGGAAGCTATTTTTGCCAGGAAGTTTGCAGATGGTGTTATGGTCTGTTTCATCTGATCAGGAGATAGTCAAACCACATAGCAGCCTCCTGTGAATCTGCCCCACACTGAGCGATGATCCTAAAGGAACATGGTCCAAGGCATTGAAGAAACAAACTGAACTGACCTTGAAGCCAGACAGCCAGAGAAAACCCCTACTCTAACTTATTATTATGGTCAGGTTCCTTCAGAGTCATATATTCATTGATTCATCTCTAAAATAAGCATAAAATGAGCTGCTGGGTCTTTAATCCCAGCACTCATGAGGCAGAGGTAGGCAGGTCTCTGTGAGTCTGAGGCCAGTGTGGTCTACATAGTGAGTTCTAGGACAGCCAGAACTGCATAGTGAGATTATATATATATATATATATATATATATATATATATATATATATATATATATATAGAGAGAGAGAGAGAGAGAGAGAGAGATGATAGAGATAGAGATAGAGATAGAGATAGAGATAGAGATAGAGAGAGATATTTATGTTACCTCATAAAAATAAAGGATAAAGCCAATATAGGACATTATCTAGGCTTTTTAGGCTTTTGTAAACTAACTACATTTCAGGCTCTATGAGAACATTTTCCCTTTGTAAATTTGAGAAGAGGGAGAGAGAGGAGGAGAGAATGAGACAGTCCCCATGGTGCATGTGTAGAGTTTAGAAGACACCTCGGGTGCCAACCCCCAACTTCTACTTTGTTTGAGCCTGGGTTTCTTTGCTTTGCCATTGCGTACACCAGGTTACCAGGCCCCGAATATCCAGGCACTTGCCTGTCTCCATCCAATCTTGCCACAGAAACACCGGGATTATAGACACTACTGCTATTTGCATCAAACTCAAGCCCTCACCCTTGAGTGGCAAGAAGCACTTTAGCTATTGAACCGCCTCCACAGAATGCACCAAATATTTTAAAAGACTTTTTTAAGGTAGAGAAGTTAACAAGAAAAAAAAAAAAACGTTATTTTTCACTCAAGATGGTAAACTGAGACCTTCACTAGGGTAAGGATGTAGCACCAGTGCTCTGGACATCCCCACTTGCGTTTGAATTGATCTGATATAGATGTCAAGGAAGGCTTTGAGGTCAGCTCTGTGCATCCCAGAGAGTGTATCTGACTGCTTGATTGGCTTTACACATTTCCTATATAGCCTTCTCCTCTCATAGGTGAAGATCAGACCAACCAAGTCTGTGTGTAACAACAACAAAATCCTCCTGGATCAGAAATAAACTCTGAGGTGCACATTTAAAAGACAAACATGGAATCTTCTAGATGGCCACCATGTGCCAAATATTGTTCATCACGTCTTCAAACCATAGAGTTTGGGAAAATGGGATACTGTTCAAGAGTTACGGCAAAGGAATGGTTGTTCTTAATCTCACTTTTATATCGAAACTAAATGACAGAGAAGTAGCCAGGTGGTATCTTGAGTCTGAAGATAGACTCTGTCTTCCAATCTTGGCTAATTCCACGGGGTGGGAGCTGTCTTCCTACACCATTTTACCTCTGGAAATATACCAGTATTTGCCCGAATATAGAAAATATGTTGCCTTCCTTCCTTACCAGGGGGGGTTGCTCTTTCAGTTCCCGTAGTTTCTGACTCAGTTCTCTGCGTGCTCCCCTGAATTTACTGTCCAGGGCTGGGGAGAGGGTGTCCACCAGCCCCAAGATCATGTAACTCTGTATCATGTCCCTGTGAAGACAGAAATTCTCAACCTAAGAAAACATGCCCAAATGAGGAGTCTCTTCAATAAATCACCTCGCCATGCCTGTGCTCAGCCTTGTCCTCTCTATCTACAAAGAACAGCTGTCATGTATGCACAAACATCAAGCAACAGTCTTCCTTGATTTGCCTGTGGGGGGGGGCGGTGACAGAGGAACCGAGTAAAGGAGCTGCCTGCTCAAGTTACAGGGAGAGAAGGATCTGATCCATCTGTTTCTACAACCAGGAGACTTCAGCTCCTCCGAAGATAGGTTGCTAAGTACCACGCAGCTGGGTTGTGGCTTGCGTTGGTCGAGCTAGCAGCTGTCTTTCCAGGCACACTCAGAACTGCAGAAGCCACGTGATCGCTGCTTTGCCTCCCCTGTAAAGACTTCTAGACACTATCGCCCCGAGATGCTACACAGAGGAGCTAGGTTCATAGCCTTCAGAGCTGGGCTTCCGGGCATTGCCTACAGTGTAAGAGCTCCTTAAAGGTTGGTGTTACTTTCCTGGCAGGTACCTCATCTTGTCTCAACCCTATTTCACGGGTCACACGGTCATCAGCTCCCAAAGCCTTACATAATTCTTGGTTTTTGTGTTTCCTTTTGAGCCACCCACCCTACCCTTTTCCGTCCCCCCCCCCGTGTAGCTGGTGGCTCGTGTCCCCACTCCCCTTCCATGCCTAATGTCTCCCCCAACCCCACCTGGGACGAACCTGCTTGTCAGCAGCTCTTCTTCTAACAGTTGTGACATGTTTCTCAAGTAGTCTAGGTCACGGACCACAAGGGTCTGGGCGGGACTCAAGGACATCGGGGTGAATGTTGCTTGTAAGCACGACAGCCAGTCGATGGCAGGCGCCATTTCCTTAGAGAAAGGACACAGAGTTGAGGACGAGAAAAGGAACAGAACAGAGAAGGAGAGGCTTGCTAGGGGAGGACTGGGAAGACAGGACCTACGGAAAAAGGAAACGAAAGGAAGTATGGCGCCAACGAGATGGTTCAGAGGTTGAAGGCGCTTGACCACCTGAACTCAGTTCCCCAGCCCAAACGATGGAAGGCAAGAATCCAAGTTCTGGAAAATGGTTCTCTGGCTTCCATATTCACACTTAGGCATGTCCGTGTGCAGCATCCCACATAATATATAAATATACACATGCATTTTTTTAAGTAAAGAAACTAAGGGTGCAAGGAGGAAGGAGACACACAGAGAAAGGTTTTCCCAGAGAAGCCACCAAGCACCAGGTGCCAAGTTGTCCGACCCTCAGTTGTAGGCACCTGCAGTTCATCAATAGTGACCACGTGGAAGAGCTTGTCCTGTGCCTCCTGCTGCTCTGGCGGCCTCAGGAACTGGAACAGGCGTGAGGAGAAGGAGATGAACCAGGAGGCATGCTGCTGAACTTTCTGTGGGTCACCTCCCAGGAAAGTTCCCAGACGGTTCAGGTAAGTCAGCTGTTCCCGCAGGATCTAGGGGAGAGCAAACTTAGTCACAGGAGCTAGGCGCCTTTTGCCGGGATACAGAGGGGGTGTGTCTGTGGAATCTTACCTGGGCATAGATTGTCTGTTCCTGCTCTTTCTGGAGAAGAATGTCAAACTCCGGCTGGTCTATCTGGACACAAGAGAGACTGGAGAGAAGCAGGAGCAGAGGGGATGGAGAGGGTAGGCATGGGAAGGTAGGGAGGGGGTGTGTGCTGTGGAAGATGGAGAAATGGGAATAAAGAAACGAGGGGAAGTACAATGAAAGGTGGGGGCTACGGACGCATAGTCTATGCACGCGCGCACTGAGCTTCTCAGCAACAGGGTAAGCACACAGCTTTCTTTAGAGGAAGCAACCCTTTGTGTCAGTGAAGACTGGAGTCAAGGGTATGAGACACCACCTCAGGTGCACTAATTAAGGAGTACTCAAACTCAGCAACAAGATGCACATTTTAATACATACTTTTAAAACAAAATTAATGCGGAAAATCCATCATGAATAAAACATCATGACTTTGATTACCGTGGGTTTTTTAAAGATAAATCCTGCAACGTCGGAACCTTGCAGCTTGGTTCTCTAGCAGAACACTTGCTTATCACAGATGAGGCCTTAGGGTCAATCTCTAGCACCAAGTTCTACACTGTGTTTTATTCTATTTTGAAGTCATAACTTCTCTTTTAAAGAATCACAATAGTTTTGATCAGTTTTGAAAAAAATAATTTTAGGATTATAAATAATGAAATTTTGATAGATTGTTTTTCATTTAGGTGTTGCATTAATTTGTGTTTTAAAAAATATTCAGACTTAAATAGCATTTGTATTGATATTATATGTAGGTGATCTGTTAGTCAAGTGCCCAGGCTCCAATGTACTTTGATTCGGAGAATATTTGTATTCATGCTCTCCTTTCTCTCTTGGAATTTGAATAAACCACCCCTAGTCTGATCTATCTTGAAAACGATCTTTAAATTGACGCTTTTATTGAGTTTTTATGTCCAAAGTTTAGAGAGGAAAAAAGACATCTTTGCCCATTGTTTCCATTTCTTTACTGTCCCCCTGAACTCCTATTGCAATCTCTGTCCACTCTTAGAAAGACTTTTGTGACTAGCTGCAAATGTTCAATGGTGTCTTCCAGTCCTCTACCCTGCCTGTGAGCGAATCCCTGAAATCCTTAGTTCCTTTCTGTAACTCCTGCCTTTCCCTGGTTCCCTGGTGATCCCACCTCTGGGACCTATCTCCATGACCCTTAGTACTCTTTATTTCTCCTGTTTAATCATCTTATGGGCTCCTCCGTGGTCTATTCTTCCTACCTAAACTTACTCAAGACACTATCCAGACTGGAGTTGATTGTTTCCTGCATCCACTTTTTATATTTTCAACCATGGAAAGTCTCTGGGATCATCAACAATGTGTCGAGACTGACCATATTCTCCCACTCAAGCTCTTACTTTCCATTTTTTGCTGTTATCAACCAAACTTAAATATGTTAAGTTAGACTCCTCAGCTGCTTTAAGTTGCCTCCAAAGCTGATTACTCTTGAGCTCTACACAGATCCATGGTGATATCTGACAGAATTCAGCAGCTCCTCTTGTTACCATATGTTAATAGTTATCAATTCTTTGTGACTGGGCCAACAATAATTTCTGGTGCAGTCTCATATTTTCATTCATACCCAACCTCCAGTACAGCCTCTCACGGGCCTTGAGCAAAATCCCCACCATTCCAAATACTTCCCTTAGCTCAGAATTCCCCAGTGACCCTTTTATAGTGTCTCTTAGCTTCATTCTTTAACCTGGATGATTAGCCACGCCCCAGGGCTCTGTTGATGTCCTCCTCCCTAAATCTGTCTTTAAGCATTTCAGACAGCTAAACCACAAATCCATGTGCTAAAGTGGAATCTCAGTGTAGTGACTGCCATGTCTTCTTGAATAATCTCCCTGCACGAAGGTGTGTTACTCAGAGACAAATATAGACCACTCCAGTCCAGTGCTTACTGCAGCAGCGATAGCTCCGTTATTTATTTGTTTACAAACTCAGCAAACACCTAGTAGAGGCCACTAGTGGCTGATGATAACTCTAGTCTGTTGAGGCCACAGCCTTTCAGAGCATTAGATACTGAGAGCTTTTACAGGATGACGGGGCATTTCACTCAAACCGCAGCTAGTGCGTCAGGGCAGCCTTACTGAAAGAGGCTCTCAGCGCTAACATCCGAAACACATAGGAGTCTCGTAGGATTGTTACAGGCAAGCAAGCAGCAAAGAGAAGAAAGAATATTTTGGGCACTACGTGTGAGTCAGCAGAGTGTAGAGTATAAGGGGAAGACAGATAAGCTTAGGGGTCAGATCACAAACTTGTAATGCTCTGCTACAGATTAGGGGCCAGATCTTGATGGCTGGGTGATCTACTGAAATGACAGGCTCTTAGCTCTTAAACGTAGGAAGGCGGCTTAGGGAAAATAAAAAGTAAATAAGAGAAAGGCAGTTGTGTGGACAGATGACTAGTGATGAGATCCAGGAGGGACAGACTTTTGCAGTAAAGAAGTATTCCCCTTCTCACAAGTCTGGCCTTGCTATAACTTTCCCCCGTCTCACCCAGGAGCCCTGGGACCAGGACTACTTTCCCCTTAAGACAGGGCCGTTCCCGACCCTCCACACTTGTCTTTATCTCCCAGTGAGAAATCTCTGTTCTAAGGGAGGATAGCCTAGAGTTAGAGAGATAGAGGCTCCGGTGCAATTGCGGTTTTGCCCGTTTATCCCTCACCTGGATGACTGGTGTGTGTGGAGGGGTAGGATGAGGTCGCAGATAGGCCCTGAAGAACGGGAAGTGACCGTACTGACTCATCAGAAGCCGCAGCGTTCGGTTAAAGTCTAAGGGAGTCCAGTTGCCAGAGATGTGCCAACCTCCAAGCTTGGAAGAAGAGAGACAGAGTGAACTCAGGGGCCTGTGAGAGCTGCCCCCAAACGTGTGGGTCCTTCTTTCCCCTCGCAGCCGCTAGCTCCCGCTAGGGCTGGACTTCTTTCTCTACTGCCACTCTAAGTCTCGTTCTTGGAAAGTCTTTCCATTTCTGTTCCCCTCCTAGCACTTGGAGTCCCCGAGAAAGAGACCCGCATTCTAGAAAGTCTGGCAGCCCTCAGGCATGCATTCTGAATTACTCAGAAACGTTGACGCCATGCCACCATGATTCTCACCTCCTCGATAACTTGTTGGAGGGGACCTGCCCCGGAAGCTTCAATGGCATCTGTGTCCATGCAGGAGTTGTAAAACTGGAAGGCTTTCTCCTCCCCAGATCTTAGGTGCCAGGACCCTGGGGCCTCTAGAAGAGAACCAGGGAAAGTGGAATGAGTGGACACTGGCAGAGGGGCAGCCAGGAGATGGGAACTTACAGGGATGCTCAGGGAACTCCCCCACGGCCACATAGAAGAGCGTCAAGCTTAGAGAACTAAGGAGGAGCTCCCGGTTTTAATGGTTCAGTGTGACCACAGGGTAAGAGCAGAGAGATGGAGTGCAGACCAAAAGATGACAAAGAAAATAGAGGGGAAAATGCAGAAAGGGAGACAAAGAAAAGAGATGGAGGAAGGAAGGAGACTAAGAATTAGTGGTGTGGGGATGAGGAGAATGTTGGGTAGACGGGGAGGGGCCAACCTAGACACAGGGCGGGAGGGCTGGGCAGCCTGTGGGGCCTCAGGTAGTGGATCAGTATTTATCCCGAGTGTGTGAATACACATAGAGGGATGCTCTCTCAGCCTAAACACACGGAGGAGGGCCTGGGCCCTGCTCCAAATGATGAGATAGACTTTGAAGACTCCCCCAAGGAAGTCTGCTCCCTGGCCAGCAGAATGTGGATGGCATGGGGGTTGGTGGAAGGGGACAGGAGTGGACAGGAGGGTGCGGGAACTAAAACAAGCTTGTTTCACATTTAAATAATAATAATAATAAAATCAAGAAGTAAATAAATAGACAAGTTGCTTGTCACAGTACAAAAAGAAGCGGAGGCGGCCAAGATCACTTGAGACTGAGCTGCGCGCCTGCGGGAAGAGCCTGCCGACCCGTGCTCTCACCCAATAGTCTCCACAGCCGGCTCTTGCTCTCTGTGAGAACCTGAAAAGAGCTGCTGGTCCCGTTGGCCTTCTCACAGACAAAGCTGAAAAAGTCTGTGCAGGGGTCAACACTTCTGTTTCCAGAGCCCAGGTAATGGTCCAGGAGGTCCAAACACAGGGGCGTCTCACACGGGCCTGTGAAACCAAAAAAGCGCAGGGCTACAAAAGAAGGGCAAACCCGGCCAGGGCTCCCCCAAGGGGCTGCCAAGGGACTTGGAGTGGGAAGTAAAGGAGGTTGAGGAGGAAATGGTCCGACTGGGGCCTACTGTGAGACTCCAGCAGATCCTGGGGGCAAGCCAGGGAGGTCAGGGGCGTTCCAGGATGTTCCTTACGAGGGCCACAGTTCCGGAAGATGTACGCCCAAAACACAGAGAAGCCTAGGATCAGGCCACAGAGCAGGACGCCTATGAGCGCTCGTCTGCCTCTTGGGCACTGTCTGGTCCATGCAGCAGGAAGCCCCTCGTCCTGAGAGCTCTGGTGGGGAAGGCAAGAGGAAAACAAACGAGACGAAGCCGTTTGGGAGGGGCCGGTGATAACAAGACGATGGAAAGGGGGGCGGAGGAGAAGTTAGTGTTAGCATCCCTTTGTGCGGGGGTAGTTCTGCTTATTCTAAGACCCAGCTGTCTATAGACCTCTTGCACATGAGACAGCAATTCTGGGAGGGGAGATCAAGCAGGTTGTGTAGGATATTAGCAGAAATGACTGGAGTTGTCATAGCAGAGACCACCCACTTACCTCCCGGGTCCAGGGAGGTCCCATTCTACTGGCCGGGCTCTGTTCCATGAGCTTTCTCCGCTTCCGTTCTCCTCCTGGAGTGACTGGAGGAGGGGACAGGAGGCAGAAGCTGGTTCAGGAAGGAAGGGCATGTTAAAGACATATTTGTCAAGGCACACCGACACCCACCCCCTCCCCACATTCTCATTCCAAGAAAGTCCCCAGAGCAAGCTCTCCCTGCACGTTCAACCTTCTCCAACTCTCCTCATCCCTTCTTCTGTCCTGAAAGACTCCTGTGTGCGTGCGTGTGTGTGTGCGTGTGTGTGTGTGTGTGTGTGTGTGTGTGTGGTGGGTGGGAGCGGCAGGGTATTTGCACATACCACCCTAACCCCCCACCCCGGGCTCTGGCTCCCGAAGCCGGACGTTTCTCCAGGACACTTGCCATTTGTCTGCGCTTCTCCGTGGCTCCCAGAATCCTCCCTGGTTCTGCTCCAGGTACTGAAGATCACATCCCTTTTGCCCCGACTCCAGCCCCCGTGGCCCTGGAGAAGGGGACCCCTTCCACTGTATGCCTCTGTACCCAAATGTGTACCGTTGGCCCCTGGGTGGAGCCTGCTTATCAGAGAGGGAACACTCAGGCCTCCACTCCTCCTTTATCTCAGACTTCCAGGGGTGAAGAGGGAGGCATGCTCACTCAGTGAGCAATCTTGCACTTGGCCGGTCCCTGCCTTGCCTTTGCAACTTTGTTCACACTGTCTCCTTATTTCTAGAATATCCTTTCCCCCCTCCACTCTCTTTTCTGATTGAAATCAATCTCTCGGGTTCTTTCCTTCCTGGATCAGACACCACCTGCCAGGGAGGCCTCACAGCCCCGAGCCCATTCAACACTGCTCCAGGCATGCTCCATTGCTTCTCCTTGTGACCCATGGCCCTGCTGCTTGTAGTCATAGCCACATATTAAAACGATCGCCCAACTGGCAGCCCCTAATCGGCTAATTATTAGCCCCGTAACAATAAACAAGCCTCTTACACTCTCAGGAAAGGTAAGCGAGTCTGCCATCTGGAAAATGAAGGTAATAGTTTCCCATGGTTCCCTCCCAGGGCCCCATACCTGCTACAGAAGAATGAAGCTCTTCAGGTTCCGTCCATTTCCCTGCAAACTTCAAGATTCCATCATTTTTGTCCGCTGAGTAGTACTCTGCTGTGTAAATGAGCCACGTTTTCTCCATCCATTCCTCAATGGAGGGGCATTTAGGTTGCATCCAGGTTCTGGCTATTATAAATAGTACTGCTATGAACATAGTTGAACAGATGTCCTTGTTGTATGAGTATACATCCGTTATGTATATGCCCAAGAATGGAATTGCTGGATCTTCTGGTAGACTGATGCCCATTTTTCCAGAGGAACCACCATACTGTCTTCCAAAGTGGCCATGTGAGTTTGAAAAAGGAAGGAAGGAAGGAAGGAAAGAATGAAGCTCTTTCAAGTCTCTACTCTGTTAGAAACATGATTTGTATCTTTACCTCCTTATTGGCCAGAAATGTTTTATGGCAGGTATGGTATTCCTTTTCTTCATAATCTTTCAAGACGCTACATAAATGTGTAGTATGAATAGATGGGTTGCCAAGCCCATACCGTCTCCCCCTCATCAGCCGTCTCAACAACGCAAGCATGTGTCTGTTCCCTGTGTCCTCTTCAGAGGCAAAACTGTGATATATTAGGATGGCCAAGACGATGGCATGGAAGCCAAACCTCCTAATCACATCCCCAGATTTGATTCACTGGGAGGGACACGTAGGCAGCAGAAGGTAGTGTGTCATTTGAACCATGGTGTAGTTAGTACCAAGGAAGTCACAGAGACAGGTCCAGACTTCGCGCAACAGAAAGCAAGATATTGGGGACGATGAGCCCTTCGAGGAAGGTGTGACAAGACAAAATAATGTTTGAGGAAGAACGATGTGGTCCTGAAGATTGGGGTGAACTGAACAAAACACACCGAAGACCGTGGCTTAGCTGGCGCTGTGCTGGGACGGAGTAAGATCTGGACCAGGCTGATGGCAAACGAAAGGAACACACAGAAAGGGTTACACAGGAAGGAAAACGGTTATGGGATCTGCTTTCAGGGTGAGGAGGTCATGAAAGGTTGCAGCCAGGCATCCCTGTGGTCTTGGATGGTTAGGGGAGTGGAGAGGCCAGAGAGAGAGAAGTGGAATTTTGGTTAAGGAAGGGAATGAGAATCACACGAAGGGAAAGCCGGTACTCGAGGACAACAAAAGACCAGGGTCAAGGGCCCAGCAAGATAGCTCAGTGGGTAAAAGCACGCACATGCAAGCCCGACAACCTGAATTCAGTTCCCGGAATCCATGGCGGAAGGAGAGAAGTGACTCCCAGAGGCTGCCCTGGAGGGCTGCAAAAATAGCTCACTGGGTAAGAGAGCATACTTCCAGAAGGACCTGACTTCAGTTCCCAGCACCCCTTAGGGCTCCCAACTCCCTATAACTCCAGCACCTGGGACTCGGACACTCCATTGTAGCCTCCCCAGGCAGCTGCACTCACATGCGGGCAAACACGTGCACACACACACACGTGATTAAAATTTAAGTCTGGAAACAGTGGTCCTCGGGTACACACCGGGTGCTCCCTCAGGAAGTCTAAAGCTCTCCACCCACGAACACTCATACTTTCACTTCATTCATTCCCTCCCTCGTTTGCCGCCAGCCAATCCCCTTTGTTGGCAATTCTCTAGGAAAAGTGATTAAAAGGACACTGCATATTGATGAGTGCCAGCTGGTGTCCCATGCCCTCGAGGGGCTAGAGCATGGCGCTGACACTTGAGGACCTGTGTGCTGTGTGACACTAGCCCTGTGGACAGCCTCTACAGCCTGGACTTAGGCTCTCTCCTTGTTGGTGAAATTGAGCCAATAACCATGATGGGAAGTGGGTTCACCCCCCTCCCTACCAAGATGCTCCTGATGGTAAAAGAGCCACTGTTCCCGGAGCGGCCTCAGGAGTGAGGGCCTCCTTATCTGCTCTGTCCTGCTCCTGGGTGACTCATCACCACCGCAGCCATGCCCAACACATGTATGCACAGAGCAGCCAACTCACGGAGCTGTGCAGTGAGGGGAGGGAGCCACACACACCCCTCACGCAGCAGCCATGTTTCTCTCTGCGGACACTGCTGCCCAGATGCTTTAATTCCTCTCTACCATTGGTTCCAATTCCTAGATCTTTTCCTCCGATGCTGTGTCAGCGGAAAGTAGCAAGTGTGATGGCAGGAATGTCTGCCATCTGCAGACCACATCCCGTGGGTGAAGTGTAGAATAATTTGGCCATACATATAGATCAGTCTTCACAGCAATGCTGTGGAAGGAGATAAGAGCTACAGGAATATGGTAAGCTTGCACATTGTTACAAAAAAAAAAAAATCAATGATTAACCAGGACTGGAAATTGAACCAAAGCCTTAACAATTGAGTTTCTCTGGCATTAACCTTGTTTAGGTGAATTTTCAGGTTAAAATTCAGTTGTTTTTCCTTATTAAACTGTCTTTCATTGTTATGTATTGATTGGGGGTAGGAGCGGTGATCTGTTATTCTCCAAAACTTTGCTTTTCATGCTCATGGCCTAGCCCGGTCGGTGCATATGGCATGCCAGGCAAGTTCTCCAACAGTAATCTACATCCATACTTTTCAAATCCTTCTGTTATATTTGTGCATATGGCACATGTACATGTTCACATGCGTACACGTATGCAAACATGTTGAGGCCATGGGTGCCACCATACTCGGCTATGTTCATGTGTGCCGGGGACTATAACTCAGATCTTTACAGTGGTGCCAAACGTCGCCTTCTTCCTTTAATCGCAGATGCGGTCGCTGGCTCTCAAACATGTCTTCTGCCACAGGAGTGACTGTAGAGTCCTAAGCCAGTCGTACACAGGGGCCTGGGTTTTCTCGTCTTCTTGCTAAGTCCTCAGCACTGCTTGAGGCATCCAACCTATTCCGCTTGTACTTTGAGAACTGGGTCTAAGGCACCTTCATGAGCAGCTTTTCAACCGTCACTGTAATCAGATGATCTCAGAACCACCACTGGTGTGCACGTCTGAGCACCACAGCATGTACGTAAACATCCCTCACTTTTGAAGCCCTGAGTATTATGGACTATAGCTGACTATGGGTCACAGCATAGACAGTCTTCAGACAGCAAAACTGAACACTCAGAAGATAACTTGAGTATCTTAGTGTGTGTGTACTTATGTATGTATCTATGTATATACATTTGCTTTGAGACAAGGTCTCACTTATGTAGCTCTGGATACCAGGCCTTTGAGGCAGAAAGTGTTTTGTGAAATCACTTCACTGTTAAATAGGTAGACTTTCAAAATATTTTCGTGTTCACTTTTGTAGATGTATTGATAGAAAAATGTTATATTTAAGCATCCCTATTTAGTTAAATGAGTAAAATTAAAATACAGTAAGCAGAATTTGATGGTACGCATGTGCCTTTAATCGAAGCACTCAGTGATGAAGACAGGAAAATCGTGAGTTCAAAGCCAACTTACTCTAATGAGTCTCTGTCCCCCCCCCATGCACACATGTGTGCATGTATATATACACATACATGTATACACGCGTGTGTGTATATGTGTGTACATAGACATATGCTTAGATATGTGTATATGCATCAACATATAGTACGTAATGCATTTTTGAACATTCAGTTTTACTTTCTGAAGACTGTGTGCACACACATACACACATGGTAGCGGACGGGGCAGAGTTTGTCCTTTGATGTGGGAAATCTGATGCACAGAGTCACGTCTCAGAAGGAAGATCCTTGTCCCCTTTTATCATTTCACTCATATCACCATTCTCTCTTTCCTATACAACAGCTTTCCTAATACAACAGGCGGTACTCCGGGCAAAGGAAGCTCTGGTAACTTGTGTCAGTTCTACTTAGGACTCCTCAACAAGAGTTTGCACGAGACTCTGCTAAACCCATTGTCTCAGTCAGCCCTCGCCATGATAGCTGTTTGAAATAACTTCTCCCCTCAGGGTTACAAAGCAAGCACCCATTCACATGTTCAAAGCCCTGTGTGATAACTCACACTCTTCTGAGCCCTGCT